ATATATAAGAAGATAACACATTATTAACAACTGAGAATTATCATAGGCATGAAAGTTTGGTGCAACATTCAGAAATGACTCAGTATAATATAGCACTTTAACAAGAAAAAAGAAGAAAATCAATTTATCCTAACAATAGGTTCAGAAAAAGCATTGACCAATGCTTTAATGATATAAGTAAATAAAACTTTCAACTACCTAGGGATAGAAGTGAATTGCATTGACCAGGGGAAAAAAGGCAACTATGTAAAATAGAGAGCTAATATACTTAATTTTTTATTAAACATTTTAACAGATGCATAAGAACATAAAAGTATGTATTAATGGGTTCATGTGATGTTTTGATTCACATAAACATTGATGTTTTAATCAGGTTAAACATATTTACATCCTCAGACATATTTTATGTCTTTAAATGTTAAAACCTTACAAAATCCTTTCCTCTGGCTTTCTGAAGTGTACGTTATTATTATCTCTGTGTTGTGCAATAGCACACTGGAGTTTCTTGATTCTGTCTAACGGTAACTTGGTACCCACGGATCAGATCAACCTTTCCCATTCTTTCCTCCCCCTTACCTTCCCTGGGCTCTGGTAGCCACTATTATACTCTCATCCACTATGAGACCAGCTGTTTTAGATTTCACATGTCCTCGAAATCATGCAGTATTTGTCTTTCTCTCCTAGCTTTTACTTAACCTAGCCATCTCCAGTTCCATGGTACTCAATTCTGAATGACTGAAAGCCTTGCCCCAATGACTGGGGAAAAGATAACCATGTTTGTTCTTCTATTTAGCATTGTGCTGGAAATCCTAGCCAGTGTAACAATGCAAGAAAAAACAAAGACATACAGATTGAAAGGGGTTAAATATCTTATTTATAAAAAGCTGTATATACAGGAAATCAAAGCTCCAAGAACAAATGAATTTATACAGATTTAGTTAATAAACATAATTTTCATATATATATATATATGTGTGTGTGTGTGTGTGTGTGTGTGTGTGTGTGTGTGTGTGTATTGACAAGAAACAATAAGAAAACAAAATCTTGAATAATGTCATTTAGGATAACTTTGAAAAAGTTAAATAGAGTAGTTGAATTTGTGTTATAGAAGATAAAAATTTCATGTTTTGTTTTTAACCAGATATTCCTAGTTGCCTCCTGGAGGGATATTTTATTTCTTCATACATTTAAAAAAATTCATTGTTCTATATGAATTTGAGAAATTTGGATTGAGCTAAATTTATATCTTTTGATATGTTATAAAGATGACTCAGAGTGCTCAAGTATGCAAGCATTTTGACCTTTAACATGCCATTTGGATTATCTTTTCCTGTCTCAGTGTTGTAAACTATTTATATTTCATTTCTTGCGTTCAACAACATCTGGTACATAGTAGGTTCTTAATCAGTAGTTGAATGGGTTGAATGGCTGTGCATTTAGTATTGTGCTAGTTGGTTGCTTAAACTCAGGGGTAATGACTTTGGGTTCAACTCATTGAGAAACAAAAATCACTGAGTTTCAAGTAACAAAGCAGACACCAAAACCACAGACTATATGCCATTTTATTAATATATGGAGAGTACTTCATACAGATCATATTATGACCCTAATGCAAAAAGAGTTTTTAATTTTCTTTCTCGGATATTGATGTTCATTTTCAAATGAGAGACTATTTTACTTTCTTACTTTCAAATGTGCACCTTGTGCAAAAACAGATTATAAAAGAACATGCAACTGGCTTTAGTTACTTCCTCTACATTTTTAAAAAAAACAATATTGTTTCAGTTGTAGATGAACACAATATCTATATTTATTTATTTATGTTTATATGGTGCTGAGGATTGAACCCAGTGCCTCACGCATGCAAGGCAAGCTCTCAGCCACTGAGCTGCAATCCCAGTGCCTTTTCCTTTACATTTCACCAAAATATTTTTCTTGTTTTCTCTTGTCTCTGTTTTCCTTTAAAATATTTTCTTTATCACTGGGTATTTGACCCCTCTCATGTATGGCAATGAAAGTTCTGGGTTGCTTTTTTTTTTTTTAACTTTAAATGGACTTTTTTTAAGGAAGAAGTTTTAATGGTGATTTTGTTATTATTTCTCTTTCCAACCCTATAAAAAATGGGGATATTTTTACTACAGCTTCTGGCTACATTTAACATCATTGCCAGCAAAAATTTGATAGTGGGCTGGGGATGTGGCTCAAGCGGTAGCGTGCTCACCTGGCATGCGTGCGGCCCGGGTTCGATCCTCAGCACCACATACAAACAAAGATGTTGTGTCTGCCGAAAACTAAA